TAGTAACATTAACTTTGGTCATTTGCTTAGCCTGGTGTCTACCGGATTTTTCCAGTTTAAAAATACAGTCCTTCCCTAAAGAATTAATCTGTGAAGATATTTTGAAATTCCATGTCTTCCCCAACTTGCAAAATATTCACCACCAATTAAGCTAATGATGAATTTTGTCTGAATTATTTATGACAACAATGGCTGCTATATGGTACTATTCTGTCAATATTTCTACATTTGTGAGTTGGCATTCTATTGCAAAAAAGAACTTTCCCTTTCAATTTTATATCTTATCAGAATCAGTATAAACTCATGGATTTTTAAAAATTTTATTGTTGTAAAATGTAGGGTTTAAAAACCCTCAATCCTGTTTTGTTACTTACTTACACACTTTTAATGTGATATAAACTCCATCTTAGAGACTCATTACCTTTCTAGGTAGTCTGCAAAATTTAATTAAAAAAAACATTTTTCCAGTAACACTGTCCAAATTTAAATATGATTAACCATTGGATCAAACACTGGTTTGGAATACCCAAAGCCTCCAACTATTGGGATAGATAATTGTGAGCATGGTTACTGAATGAAAGGGTGTATTTAGTCAGAACCATCCAATGTAAGTTTGTGCAAAACGTTCTTAGTGTGTCTAAGTCTTAACCTTGGTTTTTAAAATATCACAGAATCCCAATTTGACTCCTAAGGCAAGTCAGATGGACCTGGTGTGCAGATGGAGGTCTCATAGGGTTGGGGCATCTTATTCCTTCTGATAATATTATATTTTTAGTTTTAAGTTTGAATATATATATATATATATATATTCCCTTCTTTCAACACATTGTTGTTTTAGTTTTTGAAAAAAAAAATTCTTTGGAATATTAGGTTTAAAAAGCAAAATTTCAATTAATCCATATTCTTTCTATCTTTAAAGGAAAATTAACAGCTTATACATAAAACCTTGTGCATTTAAAAAAAAAAACACACAAAAAACTCTGGAGGGTTTAAAGTGGCCTGTTGTGTTTCCAGAGACCTTCTTCAACATTAGGACCATGGTGCTGATTAAAGAATAGAATCAGTATAAATATATGCATAGTATTGTTTTTAGACTTGAAGAAAGAAAAACCCTCTAAACTTGAACAGTAATATAATTATTTCTAACTTTTAAATTCTGTTAAAAATATGTATAGTAGGGCCTTTTGAAAGCCTATATGTTCCTATTTTAAACATAAATATGATAGTAACAATTAATAAAGAAGGTAGGGCTAGAGAGGGTAGTACTGATTGACAGCTAATCACACATCAAGCATTGTTCAAAAGCAGTGTTTCTCACCTGTCTGGGGCTAAGACCCTGTTCTATTTTACATTTTCAGCCACTGCCATCTAGTCACTGACCCACTGTGCACGGCTAGTGTGCAGCTCAGCCATGTGCCCCTCGCCCTGCAAGTGCCACACACACACTGGTCTCTGGGCTGCTCCGGATCCCACCCATCCTGAGTGCGTCTGTCACAGCAATAGCTGATGGCTCTGAGTTTCCAGCTTTCTTAAATTTCTTGTACTTCTTTAAGACTTAGTTGCAAAGAGTTCATAGACTGGCACTAGTGCACAGACTCCACTGTGAGCATCACTGTCATAGTTAATCTTTGCAACAGGGCTCTGAGAATTGCACTATCCCCACCACAACCTTCAGATAAAGACACTGAAGCACAGTGGACTTCCCAACCTTAAGAGCCCATGATTAGCAGGTAGCAGAATTTGTATCCAAACCCAGTCAGTGCCCAGAGGAGCCAGGATTTGTCCCTGACTCCAGAGCTTGTGCTCCTCCCCGTGTGCTTTGTCATTTTAACTACATGTGGGGAGGAACAGTTTGGTTTAGGCCATCAGATGAGGACCTCCTCAGATACACCTTCTACAGTCTACAAACCTCCTTCATCCATGCCCATCCTGCTCTCCTCTCCTGGTGATTAGGAATCACCAAGGTCAGTGATTCCACCTTGTGTCTTTGGATGCTCTTGGTCCATCCATCATCCCAACCAAAGCAACTGTTCAAGAGCAGGAATTAGATTCATTTCCCAGACAAGAAGCTGAGACTCCAAGGGTAAGACACTTACCCAAACATGTAACCATGGTTGTGTGTGTCCAGAGCCCATTTTGTTAAGGATGGTGCCAGTTTATTGTCCTGGCACCTTGGCTGGTTATCACTTTCCCGTCACTCTCAATTGTCCCACTCTGGACAGTACATTCTTTGGGCACCTACACTGCTAGTGAGGAGTAGAGAAAGAACTGAGATGTAGATCAGTGTTACTGACTCCAAAACCAGGGCTTTCTGTTATCCTGCCTGGGCTACCTCTTATAATTTCAAACTTATAATTTTGAGAAGGAAAGTTTGTTCTCAGTCATCATTTATTCATTCAGCAAACATTTACTGAGCAACCCCTGTGTGACAGACACTGTGCTGGAAGATGTAATTAAAAAGTGACTAGGGTACAATTTCAAGTCTTTCTCTTACTTGGTTTAGTGAGAAAACAAACCACGTGTGAACACTCACAGTCAGGGCAGACTCCATGATTTAGATGACCCAGTGCACAATGGAAAGAACAGGGCCCTTGTTTACAAATGAAGCATATCAGGATGGTGACAATGGGACACAAACCAAGTATGGTTCAGTTTAACAAATGAGAAGTGCTGAGGGTATTATAGAAATATGAGTTACCTAGGATGATGACTGATCTTAAGGTGAAGAAGTGACAACTGGACTAACCCTTGAGAATGAGGATTTCTCTCCTACATGGACCTTTTCCCCTATTTTTTAGACCAAAAGGTAGTGAGGAGAATCATTAAGTCATCATTTGACTTACACATCAGTCAAGAGATTCCTCCACAGTACACCCTCATTACCCACCTCTGGAGCTGTGATACATGCCATGGGAGGACATGGAAACGTGCTGTCCTGACCTCCCTTCAAGGACTTGTTGTCCAACTGCTGAAAGAGCTGCCAGTGGGCAAGTTTAAACCACCAGCCCCTCTGGGGGTAGCCTGTGTGCACTGACCCATCCAGGGAGGGGCATAAAGGCCTGGCCAGTGGACATGTCAGGACAACCCTGAAGGGCCATCATCACTCCAGACCCACACGGGGTTAGCTAAGGTTGTCTGGCCAGTGATCCAGCTTGATCTTTCCCTCTGCCTTACACTGTTTCTTTCCTCCTGATTCCACAGTGTTGACCCCAAGGGCACCCCTGATACACATCCCAGCGTTAAACTCCATCTAAGTCTGCATCCCAGAGAACCAGCCTGCAACATATATCAGAAAACATTCCAGTACTCAGGAGGATTTTTATTTGAAAATTACTGATTACACACATATTTATAACATTTTAAAACTCCAAAATAAAACACAAAATTGTAGAAGTAAGGACTTTTTGTGTGAATGTGGTTACTTTTCGTTTAAAATCCACAATCTAACATTGTCTGACCAAAATGAATTTAAGTTATATAGTAATAAAAGAATATTATTATGTTGGAATATATGAAAGTGCCATTTTATAGCTTATAAAAAGACTGAATGTTAGCAGTTTGACATAATTCATTCTAATAGAAAAAATCCATTACCATTTGAAATTTAGAGAACATTATACTTCTGAATAACTCATAGGTAAAAGATATAGTTAATTAATTAAATTAGGAATTAGAAAATACATAATACTATGGCTAGTGATTAGTGGTAAGTATCAAAACTTGCAGGTTGCAGCTAAAGTGGATCTCAGAAAAATATGTTGGCTTTATATATTTATGTTAGAAAAATAATGATGTTATTAATCTGTTTCCAGTTTAAGAATTTAGAGAAAAAATTCTGAAAGTAAAGGAAATGTTGAAGGAAAGAATGATATGATGAACTAGGGAAAGAAAAAAAAAAAACAGAAATCATCAATCAAGCAAAAAGCTGATTATTTGAAAATAGGAAAAAGTTATGCAAGATTATTAATAAAAAAAGAGAAGGCTCAAAGAAAATTAAAAATCCAAAAGAACACAGAGATACTGCAGTTTAAATATATAAGGTATTGTGAATACATTTATGCCAATCAAGTTCAAAACTCACAGGAAACAGATCCACTCCTACAAAAATGAAACTTACCAAAATGACTCTGCAGAAATAACACACTGAATAGGAAGCACATAATTACCAAAAGTTACCCAGACAATGTGGCTGCACAACACTGTGAATGTGATTAACGCCACTGAACTGTATGATCAAAAATGGCTATATGGCAAATTTTATGCTATACATACTTTACCACAATTTTTTTTAAATGCAAAAAAATAACATCCTCTATCTAGAAGACAGTCTAGAACATGGCTGTCCTTCATTAGCAAACACCCTGGAAGAGTTCCTACTTTGATAAAGCATATTTTCTCTTCCTTCTCTTTTACAGGACTTCTCCAACGGCTCAGAGGTAAGGAATCTGCCTGCAATGCAGGAGACACAGGAGAAGAACACATAATATTGTCCCTCTGTATTTTAAACATATTTCTTTTTGGAGGGTAATACCTCTATCTTCTATAACGTCATTTAAACTACATGTATGTTTTTCCTATTAGTTTTTTCTGTAGTATTTTAACCAGAGGTCTTTGAGTGGAAAAATGGACAATAGGTTTGTTAAAGGAAGTGGTTATGTAAAACAGCAACTTTACACTGACTCCAAGTAAAAAGAATCCCTGATGGAAAGTAATATGTATTTCTGCGAACAGTAAAAAAAATCATCTGTGACAACTTTGTCTAAAATCTTAGAAAATCAGTTTTGCTCTAGAGTCTCTCAAGACACAAAATCTGGGAGACAGCTTTTATTGATGGCCTGCACCTCTGATTTGGATAAGAAAGAAAACAGTGTAACATATAAATAAACATAATAAATCACTTTGCAAGAGCTTGAAATCACTGAGTGAAGTTGGAGGAAAAAATTATAGATTAACATCTTGGATTATGTAAATATTTGTTGCTGGTGTAAAAAACGTATAATTTATGCAGCGCAAAAACCTATTGGAAAAATGCCTTTGGAATAGACACGAACTCATGGTAGAAACAGAACATTGACTCAAAAATTGTTGAGGATGAGGGCTGTCCACTGGAAATATTCAGAATCACATGGTCACTGTAATATCTGGCTATTTCCTTTCAGAGTGCACCTAAGGGGTGAAAAAGACAAAAACAACATGGTTAAGAGTTTTAACTCCTTCTAAGGCAACACATTTCTAGGTTAACTTCTTCATGTGAAGCAAATCATATTGAAGGAGGAAACAGAACAGGCTCTATCTTGAAAGCAGGACTCCATCTTGGGCCAGACTATGGACTTTGAGCTCTATGCCCAGGATCTAAGGAAATGACAGACCAACCGGAAAACCAGGCCCAGGAAGGAAGAGCCCCAGGGCTCTCCATCGCCTAAAAGAATACCCTAATTATCTGTGTGAGTGAATAGAATCATACATTCTATTATGCTTATTGGGGTATGACCACAAGCCTATTGATAATTGTCCACTGTTAACTACCGAGGCTTAAGGCTTATGAATCACGGGTTAACTTTGATTGTCTCTTTCTTTTTTCTTTGTTCAGACTAGTTTCAGGGAATTTTGGGGAGGTGGGTTTGGACGCTAATGCTTAGGGTATATAAGGTTTTCACAAAAAAAAACGATCAGGGCCCTTGGCTAAGAGAAGACTCTGCCTTGGGCCCGCCGGGTGTAATAAACTGCACTCCACTATCTGCATTGTCCTTCTGAGTGAGTTTGTTTTCCGGAACGCATGGCTACAACAATATCACTAGTGGAGGCACAATTTAAAAAACCAGGGGTATATTTATTCTATGGAGAAAGTAGCCTCACTAAAATATAATCCCTCAGTGGGACTAGATTTAATGCCAAACAACCTGTAGATACACTTGCATTCTGATCATTTCGATTCACAAATATGTTTTGTCACTAGGGTAAACTGATAAGTAAAATCATTTTACTGACTCAAAGCCTGGAGATAAATTAAAAACAAGGTGACAAAAAGTCTGGGAAAACTATTAATACTGTCTGCCCAATGGTTACTCATTTTCACACATAAAATGAGCACAACAAATTTGGATGTTAATATCAGGTTGTAATCTCTCCATTTTATAAACTCTGATTGACAAACACTGAAAACAAGGAGTAGGAAATGAAGAAAGCATAACACTTTTTCATGTAGCCATGAAAAAGAATGAGACAACTTTATGCATTAATATAATGAGATACAATATTAAATGAAAAAAGGAAAGAACAGCTATCATTTGTGCTTAAAAACCGAAAGACCACATATTCACAAGTTCTTCCTGGTACACAAGACAGTCAGCAGTGGCGCTGGGGCTCCACCTGGAGGAGGAACTTGTGATGACAGGAATGGAAAGTGATTTACTTTTTGCTCATAATTTTTTTAAAAGTATTTTTAAAAAGTGTTTAAATTGTCTAGCAGTAGATGTATCATTTGTTTTAAAACTTATTATTAAAAATACATTTTAATTATTTAGAGCAGTGGCCCCCTAACCTTTTTGGCACCAGGGACCCAGTTTCACGGAAGACAAGTTGTCCACAGACAGGACAGGGGTGGGAGGGGAGTGGAGGAAGGTTCAGGTGTAATGTGAGTGATGGGGAGCAGCAGACGAAGCTTTGCTTCTTTGCTCACCACTCACCTGCTGCTGTGTGCCCATGGACCAGTACCAGATTGCAATCCAGAGGTTGGGGACCCCTGATTTAGAGTCTCTAAAGTTACTTAGAAGAACTATGGGTATATTTTTTATTATTGAGATGCAAGGCTTCTCTCTATGGCCTTTTAAAAAATGACCACACTTTTACACTGTAAAATGCCCTACAGTCTCAAAGTACGTAAGCATGTGCTCTCTTATCTGATCTCCATAATAAATTGAAGGAGCCAATGGGACTGTAATCCAAATACCTGCTCTACACACAGGTGAGGACCTGAGGCTCAGAGACCTGGGGGACACAAGGCCACGTGGATGCTAAGGACCTCCTCCATCTATTCAAACTGGTCCAGGCTCCTCGAGCTAGGATATGAGGATTTTATAACTTCTGGGCTCTATTAGATGATATCATGAATAGACAAATTGACAGCTCTGTTACACACTGGGAACAAAGAAACTTCAGAAAACCTCAACCAGATTTGCTTCATCACAGAACAAAATGGATGACAGGCATTCAGCCTTTGAGGTGAACTGTGTCCCCTCCAATTTTACATGTTGAAGTCCTAAACCCTCAGTACCTCAGAATGTGACTGTTTGGAGACAGTGTCTTTAGAGAGGCAATAAAGTTAAAATGAAGTCATACAGGTGGGTCCTAATCTAACAGACTGGAGTTCTTATAAGAAGAGATCAGGATACAGGCTCACACAGAGGGAAGACCATGTGAGGACACAGAGAGAACATGGCATCTTCAAGCCAAGGAGAGAGACCTCAGAGGAAACCAACCCTACTGACACCTTGACCTCAGATTTCCAGCCCCCAGAGCTGTGAGGAAAAACATTTCTGTTGTTTAAGTCACCTATTCTGTGGTCTTTGTATGGCAGCCCTAGCAAACTAATGCCCCCTTCAACTTTATGTATCTAAAAGGTACTTTCTCTACTATTGCATAGACCATCAGATCTCTGAAAGGGTCAATTAAACAGTGATCAGCTCACCTGAACTATGCATTTAAAAAAATGTGACTTGGAAGCACCTTTTCCCAGATGTTGAGTTTTCTTTTCAAATGAATTCTATTCTATTAGAGTGAAAAGCTTGCTGATTCAGGCTAATGCTTCCAGTGTTATAACTCTGAACAATGCATTGGTATCTGATGCTTCCACATTCAAAAAATCGGCAATCTGACAGCTTACCTAAGAGGATGCAGAGTATGCAGAAATAATGCCAAGAAGATATTCAACTGGAATGGGAATCAAGAAATGCACTTCTGTAGAGGAGACCTGACCCAGGGGTAGGACTGAAATCTAAGAGTGAGGTTCTGCCACTTTGTGAATTTGGGTGATGGCCCCACCTTGGCTACTATGTGAAAGAAGCAGTGTTCTCAGACTCAACACAGAACACAGTACCTAAGGCTGCACTCAGCCTCCCCCAGCAATTCCCACTCTGTGCTCCCTGGATCAGCTCTGTGACCTTAGGTGAGCCTTGGACCCAATCTCCTCACCCATGACATGAATAAAAATGGACCATCATGAGATTAAGTGAGATCATACATGTGAGAACAATGTAAAAATAATGATAAATAACTGTACAAATGTAACTTACCATTAATATTGTTAGAGTAGGTGCAGGATTACTAGACCAGGAATCACAAGGTTTCTAATTCTGCGACCTGTGTTTGCTTCCATATGTATGTTACACTTGATTTAAAACATTCACTGAAAGAACAGATTTCTAATTCTGTATCTGCTGCAAACCAGCTTAATACTAGTTACATACATATAGTTATATACATACATACATATACATATATATATATATATATGGCCACCTTCCTTCTAAGGGGCCTTAGTTTCCTCACCTTTAAAATGAGGGTGTTGAATCCTATTATCTTATGATATCTGGACCTATCTAAAGTTCTGTGATCTATTTCTCATTACTCAATGTCTTAGTAATATATAATGATAACATAGTTTTTAAATGAAGACTTGGACACATAGGTGGGTACATCTGTTTTTGATGTGAAATGCATAAGGTCAAAAGAGCAAAAGGGTTTGGGAGATTCCTGGGTCTCTTGGTCTCAGGAAGGAAGCTCTGACTGGGAGATACTCTAGTAGATAGATGAAGCACTTTGTGAATTTCAGGCATAAAAATAGAGAGTTCTTTGTTCAGCTTCTCAACATTTGCACACAATATAAGCACTTATGAAAAGTTCAGAACACAGACTTCCTTGTCACTAAACCTAAGTATGAACTCCAGCTCTGCCACCTCTTCAGCCAGCTCTGCCACCCAGGCAATTTCCTACCTGTGAACAGTGGAAGGCCCTGCTTGGCATTTCCTCATTTCTAAGGAGGACTTAGATGAGACAGTGATAGAGCGAACTTAGGAAACATTTCAGATAAAGCTTTTATATAGAAGTACTTAAGATACTGGGACATGTTTTCTTTAAGAAATATTTTAAATATTTCACACAAGTAAACATCTTCTACTTACAAATGAAAATCTAGGAAATGCAGAAAAGTATGAAGAAGGGAAAACACATCCATAATGTAACAGAGATAAATTTTCAATGGGAAACCTCACCACAGGCAGCTGGAAGCTTCATCCCATCCCAAGCCACGCATGATAAGGGGCAAGAACACCAGACCTTCCTTCTCTCCCTCCATCTTCCCATCAATCCTGTTCACACTCCCACCTTGTTCCAAATTACAGATGGCTGTATGACAATGGCTAAGTCTCCTAAACCAGACTCACCATCTCACCATTGTTAGGAAGATGTCACGTGACCTGACTGTTACCCATCGAGCATGTTCCTCACACCATGCACAGAGCTTAGTGCTTCACACACCTCAACTCTGTGAAAGTGCTTTGCAAACCTTCAAGCACCATTCAGACTACAGTGTGAAGCTATTGTGAGTTCTTGATTTGTCCTGATGACAATCTCATCTTTTAGAAGGTAGAGGAAGCATGGGAGGCAACTGGACCTAATTCTAAACAACAAAGAATTAGGGATAAAGTGACAGTATCAGGTTGGCATCTAATCTTTACAGATTAGAAAACAGAATAGGCCTACACCTTTCCCTGCAAGATCTTCCTAGAACGAAAATATTCCAAAATTTTCCTTAAACTCTCAAATTTCCTGGATATTCTTTGACAGCAATCAGAATGAACATAAAGGGTCTGCAAAATGAGTGCTCTGTGCTGTATGAGAATCTGAACCCAGAGTCCAAAATGTGGAAAGTCTAATTTGACATCTCTCTCAGGCACAGGTGTGGTCACACAGAAGAGCACACATTCCAACACCACTCCCAGCACTTGCTGCAGATTTTCAGCAGATCTGCCTTCTATCTGCCATGTGTTGTTAAGACCCAGTCATGAAGCTTCCTCTCTGGAGGCTTATAAGGGCACAGAGTGCTTATTATTAGACCCCTGGTGGAACTCATGTGAAGGGTGAACCCTGGAGATGAACTTTAATTACAACTCCCCACAGCAGGCTCACCTGTTTTGCCCTTTCAGTGAGGGCAGCAGCCTCGGTCTCACCCAGTTGTTGTACCATCTTATAAAATAGTTTGTCTCTATTTTGCAGCAAAGCATACGGGTTATCGTCTTCTTCCCATATCCCTGAATCCAAAACCTGTTGATCAGCAGAAAGAAAGCCATTAGCACATAATGTCTCCCAGGAAAATATTATAACTCAGACAATATTTCAAAAAGAGGCAGCACAGGGAGAATAGAGAGAATCTGTTTAGGTGGTAGGACTGGCTGGTGTTTAAATGGCTTGATTACCATGTTTTACTAGGCAAAGGCCTAACCTGACCTTTTAATATTACAATGTTATAGGAAAGGAAGAAAACAAATGTTTTAGACTAGGCTTACTGGCACTCTGTAGCATCTTGTATTCTGCCCAGGGCATTGGGTGTTGTTATCTTTACCTAGTGCTTTTAGCTCTCAGGCTCTGAGTTTTCAAGCAATTTATACAGATACACAGAGTTGGAAAATAACTTGATTCAAGAAAATCAAAGTCCATTTATCTAAAAAGTAGGTTGATGTCATACAAATGAAAGGGCAGTGCCCTGACAACAAATTAATGGTCAAGTTGATTTGAAAATTCAAGAAATATTTGAGGAAAAGAGAAAGTGCTTCTTGGATTTCTTTAGCGTCCTGGATTATGTCAGCTGCTAAGAGGAGTAGAATCCCTTGTCTGAGAGGTTGAGATGCTTCTTGAAGTTGGATGTGGTTGTAGTTTATCCTTCCGAGTGAAAGCCTGGCAAAAAGATCTGGTACATAAGCAGCTTCTGCAGGATTGCTCTGCACAGAAGAAAATTTCTAAAAACCAGTTTTCTCTTTGGATAAGACTAAAGAAGCAAGTAAGAAACTGAGCTTCAAATTCCTGTGATTACAGCCTGCAGAGCACACAGAGTCAGCCCAACCTGAACTGCCTAGGATCTGAATCTGTTTTCACAGACTCTTTTTTCCCATTTCTTTCCTCAGCTGCCTGCCTTTTACCCCTTTTATTGCTCATTAGTAAGTCTGCTAAATTGAAACTGAAAGGGAGAGGAAGGGGCTCTCAACTCTTTCTGCTTACTAGTGACTTTGGTTAATGGTTCTGGAGGGGAAAAAAGTGTCTGAAACAACTGGCCCAAATACAACTTTAAAAATAGTTCTGATGTTCAGTGGTATTTAATTCTTCATTTAGGTCATATTTAGAGTAAATGTATCTTAAGAGAATATGCTGGATGGACTTCCCTGGTGGCTCAGTGGTAAAAGAGTCTGCATGCCATTGCAGGAGTCATGAGTTTGATCCCTGGTCCAGGAAGATCCTGTGTGTCACAAAGCAACTAAGACCATGCTCTGTAACTATAGAGCCTATGCTCTAGATCCTGGGAGCCACAGCTACTGAGCCCACATGCATAGAGCCTGTGTTCTGCAACAAGAGAAGCCATGCAATGAGAAATCTGCACACTGCAATGAAGAATAGCTCCCACTCACTGCAACTAGAGAAAAGACCACACAGCAAGGAAGATCCAGCATAGTCAAAAATAAACAAATAAATAAATAAGATTAATTTTTTTAAAAAAAGAAGAGAATATGCTGGAACTCTAAACAAGACACAGGTTGTTTTTACACATCTAGATACTGCAACTAATTTCATCCTTTGTATTTAATTGGAAACATTTATTAAGTGGCATAAAAGCCATTTTCCTGTTAATCTTACTACTGTGAATCATTGCTAACAGCAGCTTTCTCAAAAGAGTCCAAAAATACCTGAATCTGTCTTAGTTTAGTCGCTCAGTCGTGTCCAACTCTTTGCAACCCCATGCAGCATGCCAGCCCTCCCTGACTATCGCCAACTCACAGAGTATATTCAAACTCATGTCCATTGAGTCGGTGATGCCATCCAGCCATCTCATCCTCTGCTGTCCCCTTCTCCTCCCACCTTCAATCCTTCCCAGCATCAGGGTCTTTTCAAATGAGTCAGTTCTTCACATCAGGTGGTCAAAGTATTGGAGTTTCAGCTTCAGCATCAGTTCTTCCAACGAATATTCAAGACTGATATTCTTTAGGATGGATTGGTTGGATCTCCTTGCAGTCTTGGGGACTCTCAAGAGTCTTCTCCAACACCACAGTTCAAAAGCATCAATTCTTCAGCACTCAGCTTTCTTTATAGTCCAACTTTCACATCTATATATGACTACTGGAAAAACCATAGCTTTGGATTAGACAGACGTTTGTTGGTAAAGTAACGTCTCTGCTTTTTAATGTGCTGTCTAGGTTGGTCATAACTTTTCTTTCAAGGAGCAAGTATCTTTTAATTTCAAGGCTGCAGTCACCATCTGCAGTGATTTTGGAGCCCAAAAAATCTGTTACTGTTTCCCTTGTTTCCCCATCTATTTGCCACGAAGTGATGGGACCATATGCCATGATCTTAATTTTCTGAATGTTGAGTTTTAAGCCAGCTTTTTCACTCTCCTCTTTCACTTTCATCAAGAGGCTCTTTAGTTCTTCTTCACTTTCTGCCATAAGTGTGGTGTCATCTGCATATATGAGGTTATCACTATTTCTCCCAGCAATCTTGATTCCAGTTTGTGATTCATCCAGCCCGGCATTTCTCATGTTGTACTCTGCATGTAAGTTAAATAAGCAGGGTGACAATATACAGCCTTGACATACTCCTTTCCTGATTTGGAACCAGTCTGTTGTTCCACATTCAGTTCTAACTGTTGCTTCTTGACCTGCATACAGATTTCTCATGAGGCAGGTAAGGTGGTCTGGTATTCCTCTCTTTAAGAATTTTCCATAGTTTGGCGAAATTATAGAGTAACTAGAATTATAGAGCAGCTATAACGATTGTGGAAAATTTGACATATAGTGAGAATTACCAAAAGATGAGACAGAGACATGGAATGAGCAAATACTATTGGGAAAATGATGCCCATAGACTTCAATGCAGGGTCATGATAAGCTCTCAAGTTGTAAAAAATGCAGTATCTGGGAAGTGCAATAAAACAAGGTACGTCTGTATTTCTAAGGCAAACAATATTAATAAGGTTCAAAATTGGGAAAGGAGCATGTCAAGACTGTATATTGTCACCCTACTTATTTAACTTATATGCAGAGGACATCATGCAAAATGCTGGGCTGCATGAAGCACAAGCTGGAATCAATATTTCTGGGAGAAATATCAATAACCACAGATATGACATAGATGATACCACTCTTATGGCAGAAAGCAAAGAGGAACTAAAGAGCCTCTTGATGAAGGTGAAAGAGAAGAGTGAAAAAGCTGGCTTAAAACTCAACATTCAAAAGACTAAGATCATGGCATCCAATTCTACACTTCATAGTAAATAGATGGAGAAACAATAGACACAGTGACAGCCTTTATTTTCTTGGGCTCCAAAATCACTGCAGACCATGACTGCAGTCATGAAATTAAAAGACACTTGCTCCTTGGAAGAAAAGCTTTGACCAACCTAGACAGCATATTAAAAAGCAGAGACATTACTTTACTGACAAAGGTCCATATAGTCAAATATATGGTTTTACCAGTAGTCAAATACATATGTGAGAACTGGACCATAAATAAAGCAGACTGCTAAAGAATTGATGCTTTTGAACTGTGGTGTTGGAGAAGACTCTTGAGAGTCCCTTGGACTTCAAGAAGATAAAACCAGTCAATCCTAAAGGAAATTTACCCTGAATATTCATTGGAATGACTGTTGCTGAAGTTTAAGCTCCAATATATTGACCACCTGATGTGAGGAGCCTACTCATTGGAAAAGACACTGATGCTGGGAAAGTGTGAAGGCAGGAGGAGGAGGGGATGACAGAGGATAAGATGTTTGGATGGAATTACTGACTCAATGGACATGAATTTGAACAAACTATGGGACATAGTGAAGGAAAGAAAGGCCTGGCATGCCAAAGCCCAAGGGGTCGCAAAGAGTCGGACACAACTGAGCAGCTCAACAACAATTTTCAGGAATGAGAGGAGCAACTAAGAGAAAATTAAATTGCTGGAGGTTTCAACCAAGTTTTACAAATATGGATATGCTGAAAAACTTAACAGAAATGAAAAAAATCTAAAATGGTGAGGGTCTTACCATTATCCGTGTGCAGTCAATGACATTGCTCAACCTGTGTGTGATGGTTAGCACAGTGCACTGGGCAAATTTCTCACGAATTTTTTTTTGTATTAACTCATCAGTTCTATATTAAAAAAAGTTGATTTAGTTCAGTAAAGACATGACAAGCAGACTTAAGACTTAAAAATATATGATATTTTTATAATGTTTCTAAAAATCAATATGTTAACATATGATCTTGTTCCTAAAAAACTAAGTACAAAAATTCTATTTAGAAATTTACTCTTTTTCACAAAATGATGGAAAATATTCTTCTCTCAAAATTGCTTGAAACTATAAGGAGCTGGATTTAGGAATCTAGCTCTCTCAGGATGCCTCATAATAACATTAATGCCATACAATATGTCTTGGTTTTTCCTTTGTTTTCCGGAATTGATATTATCAAAAGATATCCATTGGACTAAGAGAGCACTTAGAAACATTTCTAAGCATCACCAAATGTTTTCCATTTACCACACTGACAAGTAAGAATCAAGGTTTCCTGGTCTCAGCTCCATTACCTTGGATCCACATTCGATGTGGCTTTGTCAATAATCAATATCTGATTTTTCCTGAGGATAGCCCTGGCAAGACACACCAACTGTCTCTGTCCAGAACTCAAGTTCAATCCAGATTCTGCTAACTCAGTATTCATTTTACCAGGAAGACCTTCAATGGCTTCTTTAAGTTGCACCTGTGGGTAAAGAAAGAATGACTTTTTCCTAAGCAAACTGTTGCTAAAGTAGACAAACCTCTTAGACATTAGAACTTTGATGTCCTCAGGACTTCTTACATATATTGCATGTACAGCCAGCGTGATGGGAAGAGCTCTTTCTAATGAGTATTCACTGTGAAAGATGGTGGAGTCAACTCAGGACAGAAAGATCTCAGTGTCCCCCATCCCTGCTACAGGATATCCATCAGAAACCCTGCCTAGGGATTAGTTAAGTAAGTCTCTCAAAAAAATGAAGCCTTTTCTCCTAGTGTGGTTTCAACAGAAAAGTTAAAATGATCTTTATGGTTGAGTCAAGTTTCCCAAAGTAAATTTTGCATAGGAGTTGGTACACTAAAGAAAAACTTTAAAAATATTTACAGTAAGTATTTTTCTCTGAAGATATAATCTTATCAACACTTTACCACTTGGTTAAGTTTACAATATGCGAATTTGAACGATGGCAACTGGAGCCTATTTTGATGATAGCTCTTTCCCAAATTTAATACTATAAATAGTGGACCAATCGAGTGCATTTTCCTCAGTGTCATAAATGTCTTGCAGTGCATGAAAACTCATTCATTGAGTTTCATATAATGAAAACTCATTCTATGAAAATAAGACACAACACCTTATTTCCCCCAGAATATGAATATAGGTGATGTTTATATTAATCTATCTTCATAAAATTGTACTTATAAGATTAGAGAAAAAACAAACTTTTAGTTGCCACAGATAACTGAAAAGTACATTTGGTGGTAGGAGTCAGTTCAATAAATATTTATTTTGGAAAAATATTATACAGCATTAACCAAACTCAGGCTATACTTGAAGTTGAAGATCAAAGACAAAATACACTTTAAATTAAGACATCAACAGATTGATGAGTGATGGCCAATAAGTTTTCTGACACAGTATAATGTCAGATAACAACACACCAAGGGTCGGTCAGTGAGAAGTGTTTTCATTTTTCAGGTATCCTAAATGCTGGAACACATCTATGAATGTGAACCTGAATTGTGCTATTGATGGAGTCCAATCCCAAGAAAGGGGGATTCTGAGTTAGAATATGGTATTGTTATGCAGCATTATCCTGAGAAGTACGCAAAATCTAAAAGGTAAGACTTGGTTTGTGGTACAAGTGGTTGGACTGACATCCTGACTCACACTTGCCCCTGACTTGGATGACATCTCATCACTAATTTGGTTTTCTACTTTCCTTCAAGTTTGTCCATATCCACTTCATGAGGAAAAAGGGTTGTGAGAGGAAATGTTTTTCAGAAAATGATGTTTTCTGAGACTCTGTTTTCACTTATAAATCAGGGATGGCTATGAGAATATATGAATATAAAGGTCTTCTGTAGTATAATCATAAAACAAGTTATAATTAAGTATTAAAATGGCTGATTCATGTCAATGTATGGCAAAAAACCACTACAATATTGTAAAGTAATTAACCTCCAACTAATAAAAATAAATGAAAAAAAGTGTAATATTACTATTAAATTTATTGATTGAGATAACTGTATTAGGACATATAAGAGAACGTCCTTGTTCTCACAAGGTATACATTTATATGTTTAAAGGTGATTCAAACTTTTAAATAAACATTTCTTCAACTTACAAGTAATTCATCAAAATAAAGATTTTTAGAAGAGAGGAAGAAAATATAGGAAGACATAATAGCTGATGAATCTAGGTGAAGGTGTATATGTGTTCATCATACTATTCCTTTCATGTTCCTGTAATTTGAAAATTTTAAAACAAAAAATTGGAGGCTTGGGACTTCCCTGGTGGTCCAGTGGTTAAGAATCCACCTGCCAATGCAGGGAACATGGGTTCGATCCCTGGTTCAGGAAGATCCCACATGGAATGGAAGTAAGTAAACCCATGTGCCACAACTACTGAGGCCACACTCTAAAGCCCACAAGCCTCAACTACAGAGCCTGCATGCCACAACTACTGAAGCCTGTGCCTCTAGAGCTCAAGAGCCGCTATGAGAGAAGCCATGGCAATGAGAAGCCTGTGCACTGCAATAAAGAGATAGTCCATTTGCTGCAACTAGAGAAAGTCTGCAAGCAGCAATGAAGAACTAGCACAACAAAAAAAGAAAAAAAAAATTGGAGGATTGAAGCCAGGCAGCCTGGGCATAAGTTCTACCTAGCTCTGCCAACTGGGAAAGTTACTAAACTTACTCTGCCTTAGCTTCCTAAACTCTCACACTATAATATCATAATTATAAAGGTGGGTACCTCATAACATTGATATAGAGTACAAAATAAACCAGTACATGTAGAATTTACAGCAGATCAATAGATATTGCCCATTATTACTAATGCTTCCAATATGCTACTGGGGAAGAGTGGAGAATTACCAATAGCCCCAGAATGAATGAAGCAGCTTGGCCAAAGCAGATATGATGCTCAGTTATTGATGTGTATGTTGATGAAAGTAAAATAAAATGGTGCAAGGAACAGTATTGTATAGGAACCTGAAATGTTAGGTCCATGAATCAAGGAAAATCGGATATGGTCAAGCAGGAGATGGTAAGAATAAACACTGACATCCTAGGAATCAGCAAACTAAAATGGATGGGAATGGGCAAATGGAATTCAAATAGCCATTATATTTACTACTGTGGGCAAGAATCCCATAGAAGAAACAAAATAACCCTCATAATCATCAAAAGTCTGAAACACAGTATTTGGGTGCAACCTCAAAAATGACAGAATGATCTCAGTTTGTTTTCAAGGAAAGCCGTCTAACATCACAGTAATCAAAGTCTATGTCCCCACCACCGAAGCTGAAAAAGCTGAAAATTGATCAGTTCTGTGAAGACCTAGAAGACCTCCTAGAACTAACACCTAAAAAAGATGTTCTATTCATCATCAGAGATTGGAATGAAAAGTAGGAAGTCAAGATATACCTTGAGTAACAGGCAAGTTTGGCCTGGGAGAACAAAATGAAGCAGGGCAAAGGTTAACTGAATTCGGCCAAGAGAATGCACTAGTCATAAAAAATACTCTTTTTCAACAACACAAAAGACAACTTTACACATGGGCATCACCAAACCATGAATACTGAATCAAAATGATTACATTCTTTGTAGCGGAAGATGGAGAAGCTGTATACAGTCAGCAAAAACAAGACCGGGAACTGACTATGGCTCAGATCACCAGCCTCCCATAGCAAAATTCAGGCTTAAAGTAAAGAAAACTGTGAAAAACACTACCCAGCCAGTTATGATTTAAATCAAATCCTGTATGAATTTGCAGTAGAGATAACAAATAGATTCAAGGGACTAGATCTGGATAACAGTGTGCCTGAAGAACTATGGACAGAGGTCCATAATATTGTGCTGCTGCTAAGTCACTTCAGTAGTGTCCGACTCCGTGTGACCCCATAGATGGCAGCCCACCAGGCTCCCCCGTCCCTGGAATTCTCCAAGCAAGTATACTAGAATGGGTTGCCATTTCCTTCTCCAATGCATGAAAGTGAAAAGTTAAAGTGAAGTTGCTCAGTCGTGTCTGACTCTTAGCGACCCCATGGACTGCAGCCTACCAGGCTCCTCTGTCCATGGGACTTGTGCAGGAGGTGGCAAAGAAACCATCCCAAGGAAAAAGAAAAGCAAGAAGGCAAAGTGGTTATCTGAGGAGACTTTCTGAATAGCAGAAGAATGAAGAGAAGTGAAAAACAAGGGAGAGAGGGAAAGGTACATCAAATTAAACACAGAGTTTCAAAGAATAGCTAGGAAAGATAAGAAGGACTTCTTCAATGAACAAAGCTTAATAACACAAGAAAACAACAAAAGGGGGGAAGACTAGAGATCTCTTCAGGAAACTGGAAACATTAAGGGAGCATTCTGCCCAAAGATGGGCACAGTAAAGGATAAAAATGGCAGAGACCTAGTAAATGCTGAAGAGATCAAGAAGAGGTGGAAAGAATACACAAAAGAACTATATATATATATAACTTATATATATATATATATACATAACATATATATAAAACTTAGTGAACTGGATTACTATGATGATGTGGTTAGTCACCTAGATCCAGACATTCTAGAGTGTGAAATCAAGTGGGCCTTAAGAAGCACTGCTGTTAATAGAGCTAATGGATGCAATGAAATTCCAGAAGAACTATTCAGATCCCTAAAGGGGGAATGCCATCAAGGTTTTGCATTCATTATGTTGGCAAATCTGTAAGACTCTACAGTGGCCACAGGACTGGAAAAGGTCAATCCTCATCCTAATTCCCAAGAAGGGTAGTACCAAGAATGTGCCAACCATCAGACAATTGTACTCATCTCCCAAGCTAGTAAGGTCATGGTTAAAATTGCTCATGCTAGGCTTTAGCATTATGTGAATCAAGAACTTCCAGATGTCTAAGATGGGTTTAGAAAAGGAAGAGGAAATAGAGATCAAATTGCCAACATTCACTGGATTATAGAGGAAGCAAGGGAATTTCACAAAAACATTTATTCTTAGTTCAACAACTATGCTAAACCCTTTGACTGTGTAGATCATGACAAACTGTGGAAAGCTCTTAGAGAGATGGGAATACTAAACCATCTTACCAGTCTCCTGAGAAGACTGTATGTGGGTCAAGAAGCAACAGTTAGAACCCTGTATGGAACAACTGATTGGTTCAAGATCGAGAAAGGGGTAGGGCAGGGTGGTCTGTTGTTACCCTGTTTGCTTAACCTATATGCTGAGCAAATCATGAGAAATGTCGGGCTGGATAAGTTACAAGCCTGAATAAAGACAGACTAGAGAAACATCAGTAACCTCAGATATGCAGATGATAGATACCACTCTAATGGCAGAAAGTGAAGAAGAACTAAAGTGCCTCTTGATGAGGGTGAAGGAGGAGAGTGAAAGAGCAGGCTTAAGACCAAATATAAAAAAAAAAAAAAAACAACTAAGATCATGGCATCACGCCCCATTACTGCATGGCAAATAGAAGGGGAAAAAGTGGAA